TCTCTTTACTATCTGTGCTTACAGTGGAAGCAACGTTAGCCCACCTAATATGATACCCCTGAAAGAGTGGCCTATAAATCTGCCCTTCAGATACCTGTATGACCTAGGTCATTCTCCAGGTGGGCATTGGGAAAAAAAACACCAATCAACCAAAATTAACCAAAATTTAGTCAAAAAAGGGGCAAGACTTTCATTATAATACGGAATCTCTATATTATAATTCTATATTACAGAGATTTATGGGTAAGACTTTCGTTGAAATATTTATTATTCTTAATCAATACAAAGGTGAAGTCAGAGTCACCAAACCTATTTTATTTGCCATAGTAAATCAAGTTGTAGTTTTTACTTTCGCTGCTTAGAATATTAGATAAAAAATACTGCAAAATCTGCGGCAAATAACTTAAGTTCAAGTTCTAAATTCTACTATTGGGTGTCCCTTTATGACTATGAATTTTTAGGTTTTTATATTGTAGGTTATATCAACAAATATGCTGAGAATAAGTAATAACAAATGAGCCATTTCAGTGTATGAGAATAACCTGAATGCAAATTTTGACGAACATTTAGTGACGTATCATTTAAAATACCAGTTCTAATCAAGAAGACAGTATAGCCAATTTTTTTCCGATTATGATTTTCCTAATTATTCAGTTTTCAAAATCGATTTAAAAGTACCTTTTACAAAGCTAGGTCTCATTGGTCTGATAGACTACTCTGCGAAAACATAGGGTCGTATCTACCAGATTATGTTAAAATTCGCCGTGTTACTGGCTTTATGGGAAAATTAAAATGCCGGTAATATTTACCGAAGCGCTGTGGTAATGATTTTGTTAAAAATAACAATAAAATGTTTGAAAAAATTTGGTTAATGTGGTAATTTTATCATAATGCCTTAAAAAAAACATAAAAACCATTTATGAGGTTAAATTTAGTTTTCAGCTTCATATTTTTTCTAAACGTTTGGTAATAAGCACTATGATCGTAAAAACCAGAATTTCGTGTACAAGACTTCCTAATTAGCATATTTGAGGTCACCCCCAGGAACCATTAATATTGACATTTAGTTCGTGAAAATCCGATCATTAGAACAAAAGTTATTCAGGGTGATTCGTTTTTTTTTTTGCNTTTTTTTTTTTTGCGGACTGTACACCGTTACCATATGAACTTAAAAATTAACAAACGAATGGTTTAAATACTTTATATTTTGGTTTTATTAACCAGAATTATAGTTTCTTTTACAAGAAATATCATCACTATACAATAGGGTAATTTTAAAAGTTTTTTTTCTTCCTGTATATACAGACTGCAGCAACTAATATTGCTATTAGAAATCCCAGATTAAGAAAGCAATACGAACCTTCTTGCAACATTGACAAAGTTTCTCTCTTCTTAAGACGGCAGAATTATAACACTAACTTATATTAGTGACATGACTGTTGCTGTATGCAGATTATAATAACTAATATTGTTATTAGAAATCCCTGATTTCGATAGCAGTACAAACCTTCTTATGACATTGAAAAAGTTACTCTCTTCTTCTTAAGATGGCAGAATTATATTACTAACTTATATTAGTGACATGACTGTCCCTGAATACAAATTATGGTAACCAATCTTGCCATTAGAAAATCCTGATTTAGAAAGCAGCACAAACCTTCTTGTAACATTCACAAAGTTGCTCTCTTCTTAAGACGGTAGAATTATAACACTAACTTATATTAGTGACATGACTGTCTCCGTATATAAATTGCAGTAATGAATATTGTTATTAGGTCTACCCGACTGTGTGGGGGTCAAGGGACTGAACTTGAATCCCAAAGGTTCTGGGTTCGAATCCCGGACAAGGCGTGGATGTTTTTTTATTCTTTGTACTATCTGTCTTTACCGTGGGACCAACGTTGACCCACCTAATATGGTGCTTCTGAAAGAGGGGCCAACAAATCCGCCCTGATATAAACTTGAATTGACGAATGTTAACCCTGGTGGGCATTGGGAAAAAATATATTGCTATTAGAAATCCCTGATAGAAAGAGCAGTAAGAGCCTTCTTATAACATTGAAAAAGTTATTCTCTTCTTCTTAGGACAGCAGGATTATAATACTTAATTGCATTAATGAAAACCAATTTATTAATGTTTTGTTGCATCTTAGACTTGAAAGCACTTAGTAAAAAATGCGTGTTTCAGAGCTATTGTAAGCACTCACTTTAATTTTCAATAATAGTTATTATCGTAAAATTCATGTCGAAAGGTGATGGAGTAAAACTAAGGCATTCGCGGAATTCTCTTAGTGGCTCCATTAAAGAAAACACACTTTTCTCGTTAACAATATGAGTCAAAAAGCTGTGAGACATGTCAGTTAGAAGATAAGAAAAATTCTATTTATTCCAAATGTTAATAAAACGCATTGTTGTATTAAATTTTGTAATGGATTGTTGTATTGTACTTCGCCTAGTAACATGTATTANGAAAGCAAACTCACCGGATTTAAACCCAATCGAGAATCTGTGGGACCACCTCGATCGGGTTGTTCGGGCCACGGATCCTCAACGGCGTAATCTAGCGCAGCTGGCTACGGCACTGGAGTCGGCATGGCTCAACATCCCAGTGAACATTTTCAGAAACCTAATTGACTCTCTTCCTGCACGTTTCGAAGCGGTCTGCTCTGCCAAAGGTGGTTATTCTGGCTTTTCACAGGTGGTCACATTAATGTGACTGGACTGTGTATAAGCTTGAATTGACGAATGTTAACCCTGGTGGGCATTGGGAAAAAAATATATTTCTATTTGAAATCCCCGATGGAAAGAGCAGTAAGAGCCTTCTTATAACATTGAAAAAGTTATTCTCTTCTTCTTAGGACAGCAGGATTATAATACTTAATTGCATTAATGAAAACCAATTTATTAATGTTTTGTTGCATCTTAGACTTGAAAGCACTTAGTAAAAAATGCGTGTTTCAGAGCTATTGTAAGCACTCACTTTAATTTTCAATAATAGTTATTATCGTAAAATTCATGTCGAAAGGTGATGGAGTAAAACTAAGGCATTCGCGGAATTCTCTTAGTGGCTCCATTAAAGAAAACACACTTTTCTCGTTAACAATATGAGTCAAAAAGCTGTGAGACATGTCAGTTAGAAGATAAGAAAAATTCTATTTATTCCAAATGTTAATAAAACGCATTGTTGTATTAAATTTTGTAATGGATTGTTGTATTGTACTTCGCCTAGTAACATGTATTAGTGACATGACCAGGGATGGACTCCACATAATATAGTCTTGGTGTATGATTGACACTTTCTAAAATCATGCCTTAATGGTTCAGAATTTACTATAATAAAAAAATTACCTGCGGTCTTTGAACAGAAAAGAATTAGGCCCATCTTACTAGTTGAGAAGAGGTGTTCGGAGATCGACTGATGGCTATTATTCCATCCTACTATCTAAGTTGTGTTAGTAGCACACTGGCCACAGTTTTGTCTTCAAATCACCTCTAACGATGAATCTAAGACAGACGTTAACAGATCACTAGTGTAGTGAACGTGAACTACAAAGCGGCAGAAACAAAATCAACCAAAACTTTGAAGTTGATTATTTTTTGTCTCATCTTATTCGTAACGCAAGATAAGAGCTTTTATTCAGTTTGCAAAAGACATCCATTACTTTTTACTGCCTAAATATCACTTTTATGGCAATAACCAAAAGGTGAGTTTACATAGCATACAATCCAACTAAATGTAAGTCAAAAGATACTCCGTGAATTTTAGCTCAAAGACTTCTATTTGCTTCATTTTAATATTAAATTCACTTAAAATATAGGCTTTTCCGTTCAGTGGAGGTTTAAATTTTTTTTTAATTCACTTCAATCATCACTTTATCAATCATCTCTTTAGTTAAAATCCATCGCTTCAATTGCTAATAGAAATATTGACTCTCACTTTAAATATTAACTAATAGTAGTTCTTCACTGTGTTAATTAAAACTTACTTGACCTTATAATTTTTTTACCTGAGTTTTACATACTCGCATTATATTTTCTTGAATACATTTCTTACTGTAAAATAAAATACAACTTGATAAGCGCATGTTTTTATATTTATAGATATTTTAAACATTATTTAATCTCATAATTAGTCTTAAAAATGGTAATTAAAAAATTTCATCATAGTTAAAATAAAATGTTAACATATATGTTTCTAACTTAAAAATTTGCAAACCTGTCATGAAATCAAACTTCCTTGTGTTTATGAGCTAAAGGCACATTTGCAGCAAAACTTTACAGAGAATGGCCAATATTTTCACGAATAAGAGTATGTCTGCTTTCCTTTTCAAAGAGAATCATCTACGATATTTATTTCCTAACGTATATCTTAATAATACATAGCATAGTATCTATAAACAGCTATACACTTTTGATATAAGAAATGTAAGATCAGTAAAAAATGAAATAGAATACTGCCCTAACTAAATAGCACTTTTCAATGTATCTCATTTTAAACCTGTTTTGAAATCTTCATTCCCCCAAGGTGCTTATATTCCTCACTAAAATGAAAAGTTTTAAAAATGCTGAATAATTCATTTTACAAAATATTTATATACTTTATTATACTTAATATATTCGGAAAATCCGTAGGAACCTTTGATAAAAGTTTTTGGAATGTTTTTTTGCTAAAAATCCATTTAGAGATCGTAAAAACAATTTTATAATATGGTTTATTCATATTTTCTTTAGAATCTGTGTATATTAAGAAAAATGCAAATTTCGTAAACATTTATTGCAAATTTCAATACATATTAGATCTGCGTGATAAGCCATTGAAATAAGTAAGGCGTCCAATTTTATCACATCAGATGTTTACTCTTAATAATTAAAAATAAAGTTTAGCCAATGAGATTCCTTAAAATAAAATAATCGATTATAATTTATGAAATTGCCATGTTTATTTCTAATAATTGCTTATTAAATTTATAAATAGTGGTTGTAATTACATAACTTAACTTATAATCATTAATATTTTCTCACCAATTAATATTATTTAATAACCATACGTATTTCTTAACCATCAACCATTAGTTACATGGAACAGAAAAGCAGAAAAAGCTGTAGAGAATTGAAACTTCTGCAGAATAATTTTCCTTAAACTTTCTCTGTAGTCTGCCTTAAATAATTTGGATCTTTTCCGTACTGTATTTATTTTATTTAATTTATCTAAAAACAAACTTGGAAACTTTAAGCTTACTAAAACAATTTACATAGATGTTTTGGATATATTTAATCACAATATTTACAAAGATTATATTTTTGAACAAATCCAAATGTTTGTTTAACTGGATTATAAAGAGAATTTTTATAGAAAAATGCACATGCTTTATCAACTCCTAAACAAGCATCATCGTCTGGAATCCATTCCCATTTATTTAAGTGAACTTTTTTGAGTTCTTTATAAGCATTTACATTTCTAAGTAACTGTTTTACATCATTCATTCCAACTGATAATCCTACGAAAGATAAAATGTCTTGAATAATATGTTCTGGATCCTTTAAGAAGTGCTCGTAGAGTACAATCCGATAAAAATCGCGATGACCCATACCTTCAAACCGTTTCGCCGCTTGTAAGTCGTGCAGCATTCGTGAACACAAACTTCGCCCAAGAAAAAACATGTCCGAACCTGTAGTCCATCCTCCACGATTTAGACGACTCCTCAAGTGAAGATTAACTCTAGGATCTCGCTGAAGTATGATTACTTTAGCTATACCCTTGTTCTTCATCAAGAATAACTGAAGGTCTTGTAAATAAACTCGAATAGTCTTGGACAAAATAAATCGCTTGGTTCTGCAAAGTTCTTGAACACATTCAGAATTATTGCTTTGTTGCTCTTGGCAAGTACCAAATGCTTTTTTCATAAACTTTCGTAGCATCTGATCTGTGTAGCCAAATTTTGTATTTATTATTTTGCAATCAAACAGATCTGCCATGTATTCCACTGCTTCGTCTATATTCCGCCTAGATATAGGTTCTTCGCCGTCTTTTAAAGTAGTAGCGTCAAATGGTTGAAGAGGCTTGTTGATGTAAAATATGTCAGGATGTTGACTTAGTATGTCACCAATGTGAGGAGAACTAACATCAAAATATGAAAGTATCAAAATTTTTCTTTTCTTTGGGGAAATTGAAGTTTGTGGTACGTCAAATACTTTCTGTTCTCTTATTTCTTTCATTTTTTTCTGTATTTTTTCAGGCAAAATGTGAACTTTTTCTAAATAATTTGGTTTGGTAGGCACTTTCGTCTGTCCTTTTTTGGTTGTCACTGCTGTGATATTTTTTGAGACCACTATTGTTTTCAGTGCAATGCATTTGTTACCTATAAAAAAAAATATTTAAAAATAACAATTCATGATTGCAACATAAAAATGGAATATTTGTGGGGAAAAAAGGGTGACAAAAATTGGAATGAAAATACTTAAAGTTAAATTTTTTTTTAAGAAATAATATTGGAAATATATGAAACTGAAAAATAATTATTTAGCACCAATTAAGGATTTAAAATAATGCAACTGTACGTGCAATATAAAAATATTAGTATAGAATACTTGAGAATTAATTATTCCTGCAAACGTATTTAAATTTTAATCATCTTCACATTTTTTATATCCAATAAAATTATGATTATAGATATATAAACACTTTTACGGAAGTAGATTGAAATAAAAGGAAAAATTTAACCAACGATTTTTCTTTCAAAAATAATTCCAAAAATGTTCCGTATAGATCACCCTTGATATATTTCTTTTAGATTTCTTATCAAATGTGGTAAAAAAAAAGTTTGCGTATATGGAATCTCAATTGGATATTTCACCAAGGATAAAAAAAAAAACAATTTTGAAATTAGGCAAATTACAGTAGAAGAAGACAGATATAATAAAAATCAAGATAGGTTCAATTGTAGACAGAAACTTAATGTTTTTCGGACATTTATCATGCAATGATTGTTTCAGCTTCTCACAGAAGCAAACGAAGGTAGCGCTAGCTTCTCAAATTCATGCTTTCTTCTTCAATTAACTATCGTCAAAAAAGAAAGACTAGCTAACCATCTTTCAACTCTTCGCTATTCTATTCCGTCAAAACACCTGTTTTATTGTTCATTACTCCTGTCTTGATGTTCCGTAATTTGCCAGATAAAGAAAGAGTTCTTGCTTTTTCTTTGCTTAAATATTAATTTGAGGAACCTAAATGAGCACACCTTTTTTATTTTCCTTTTTAATAAGTATTCTATAAGTACAGGTTAATGATGGACTTTACGGAACACCCTGTATGTAGAATAAATCACTTCTTTTCTTCATTATTCATTAATAAACAAAACCTGGATAAAAAAAAATATTGCACAATGAGTAGTTCTTTTAAAAACATCTATAGTTAAATTTGTAAAGAAAAATATTTCGCTTTATTTTTATTGACTTATTTATTTATTTACTTAATTTGACACTGTAATTTGACTGTTCACTGTAATTTGAAACTTTTTATTAATATATTTTATGTTTTCCATGAACATGAAATGTTTTACTTTGGAAGAATTTACAAACATTATTAAAAAGAGAAATTAGCTATGTGGTATTATCTCCTTAAAATCTATAAATGCATCAGAAATTAGCATTTTTTATACATTCTATGTTAAGTTCTAATACCAGATCTAGCGCCATCGATACTAGATTCTAATACTAGATCTAGCTATCATATTTTTTAACTTGCACCTTTAAATAATTAACGCAATATTAGCAACAAAGTATATACAAAATTTTTCAAGCAGTTAACCATAATGAATTTACTTCACACGAAAGTTTTCCAGCAGTAACATCAGAAACGATGAAGTTTCGTCTATTGATTAAATATTCCAATACAATTATTTGAAATTGTAGTGATGCTGAAATGAATTATGTCACGTATTAATAGGTAAATTAACTGACTATAATATTTAATAGTTATTAAATAATTAATTAACCCCATCTGAATTAAAAAGATATTGTTAATAACCTCTCAGTCAGGTAGAAATGCATTTAAGGATATATTAATTTTTTGATTTTTTTAAAGAAAAAACATATTGCATTTGTAATTTCAAATAATTCTTTATGCACTTTAAACTATAAGAAAATATGAAAATAAAGCTTTTAATAAACAAGGAAGTATTATTTTAACAACACACAGGATATTTATAACTTTAAATTAAAAACGATATTCGTTCCAGTTATTATTTATGCTTTGAATCAAAAGAATATTAAATGAGTAAACATGCGTAATATATTTGTGAACTAGAATTTTTATAATTTTTAAATTACACCCTAAAATAATTAACCCCATACTAGAACCAACATAAATTAAATATACGAAATTTTTCAAGCAATTAAACGTGATGAATTTACTTCACGCGTAAGTTTTCCAACAATAACATCAGGAGTGGTAAATTTTCGTTTGTTCATTAAGTATTCAAATGCAATTATCCGAAATTATAGTGATGCCAAAATGAAATATGTCACGTAATAAAGAGGTAAATTAACTGAATATGCTATTCAATAGTCATTAAATCATTTATTAACCCCAACTGAATTAAAAAGATAGCGTTAATAACCTCTTAGATAGGCAGAAATGCATTTAAGGAGATATTATTTAATTTTCAGAGCTACTTATTTCTGCTGTCTAAACACAAGAACGAGGAATATACTTATAACGAGACTGAATAATTTAATGGTTCGGAAAGCTTTGAAAGTAAATTTATACCCTTGGAAGCATTAAACAAGTATAAATACATATTTAACTGGCATTTTTCTTTACCCGGGAGCTCGAAACAATTACTCATATTAGACCCAGCTGGAAATAATTCATCGTTATTTTCATACTTAATTTTAATTTTACGGCTTTGTTGTTTTAGGAATTTAGCATCTGCAAACCTTACTAGAGTAAAAATATATTCAAAGTAGTACCGTTAATTTTGAACTAAAAATTATTTTAACTTTTTTGTTGTTACAGCTTTTTAAATAATGATTTTGAACATATTTTGTAGATATTCGAAACACAAATATTAAAAAGTGGTTTTTAATGTGGTAGTATTATTTAATATTTATTTACAAACTTCCAACTATTGTTGTGTAAATTAGTTCACTACTCTAACCATGGTCAAAACTGCCAGAATATGATAAATTGCGCCGNGTTTTATTCTTATTGCCGCTTATAGGGCGGGTCACATTCACACACAAAGGAGAAAGGACATAGAACACAGATAGCGAGAAAGAAACATCAATGTCTTGCCCGGGATTCGAACCCAGAACCTTTCTGATGCAAAGACAGTTCCCTGCCCCCTACACAGGCCGGTCAGCGAAACACAAATATTAAAAAGTTGTATTGAATGTGGTAGTATTATTTAATATTTATTTACGAACTTCAATCTATTGTTGTGTAAATTAGTTCACAACTCTAACCATGGTGAAAACTACCAGAATGTGATAAAACGTGCCGTGTTTCCGGTTCAAATTGTGAGTCTAACCATTCTTAATTTTTTAAAAAAAATACTTGATTAAAAACATAGATACTTACAAAAGCTTTTGCAGTGAATCAAATTATTAGAAAGTGAAAAATTATTTTCTTTAACTGATGAAACCTTTAATTTTACTTTCAATTCTTTAAAATCGGTTATTATTTCATGCCCTTTTATACATTACACTAGGGAGCAATTTTTTTTTCTTTTCGTAATACATGGAGTTTTTTAACGTCTCGTGGATATTTTTGTGTTGCTGATTTCAAATCTGCAATCTCTCAAACTGTCATTTTAAAAAATAAAAATAAAACTCTGTAGTTTAAGGAAAAAAACCAATTTCAAATTTGAAATCACCGCAACTAAATAACGCTAGATCAAGCACTTGTATAAATGCAACAGAAACTTTTGTTTCCCGGTGTTGTTATTCATTTTTTCTATGCAGTTCGTATGTTTTTAAACATTGTTTCATTTCTTTCAGTGTATTTTTTCCCATGGTCATATATAGTTTTACTTTTCCAGATTTCTCTCTTTCTATTCATCCCCACCCCTGAGAATTCATATTTACGGGATTTCTCCCAAGCGTTTTTGTATTATTTATTGTACTTCAGTTTATCTCATGTTACACCTGCATTACTGTTCGTTGAATGCCCATTGGGATGAGGAGTTATAAAGAGCTATAATGCTATTTTTATTATTAATAGTGGCATCTATTTTGCCCTCTATTTAATTTAAAGTTTGAAAAAGAAAGTGGCACCACCACTGAAAAGTATTGTAAGATTTAAACAATCTACTGAATGTACAGTGCTCTCCCCCCCCCAAAAAAAACGAACCACACTGCATAACTTTTGATCTAATGACCGGATCTTCACATTCTAGGACTCAATCTTAATAATTCAAGGGGATAACCTCAAATATGCTATTGATAAGTGCAGACGATATTTTAAGTTATAAAATCAGACACAAAAATATACTTTCTCCGAATAAACATACCTTTTTTTCCAATGATTTGGTTTTTAACCTCCAAAACATAGGGAGAAGCCACAATCTGCGAAATATGATCCCCATACCTTGGTCAGGAGAGCACTCCAAAGTTTGGACCCCTTAATGTTACTTTTACTTTTTGCGTATTTCGCCATATCCTGAGATTTTCTGAAGCAAATTACCATCTTTCAACTCTTCGCTATTCTATTCCGTCAAAANAATGCATGAAAATGAAGAGAAAAAAGACATACAAAGTAAAATAAAATTAAAATTTAAGAAAAAAATCATTTTTGAGATTGTCTTTTGTTGTCGATTCCATTATTTCAAATTAGTATTGCATGTCAGGTGAAAGGATTTATAATGTCGGAGTATTTTTATTGGCTGAAAAATCACGTGGTAGGATCCAGTTTTTCCTTATTCATTTCCAGATCGTTTTGGTTGTCATCAGCATAAAACTAATGAAAGTCGTAAAGGTATTATTCTTCTACAAAGATTTTCGTATCCTTAATTTAAAATGAAAGTTCTATTATTTTAGTAGTGGTCTTGCAGTAGTCTTGACTACTCTTGACTAAGAAAAATAATCTGAATAAAAATATGTATTTTTAAAAACCACGTTTTTTGTAGTGAAGAATAATAATTAAAAAGTAATAATTTTAAAAAAATATAAAATAAAAATTAAAAAAATTATAATTTAAAATAAAAAAATTCAAAATAAAAAACAATATTTTTAAAAACCACGTTTTTGTAGTGGAGAATAATAATTAAAAAAAAATTGAAAAACGAAAAACGTGGGGCGAATGAAATACATAACAGTACATATACGCATATATATACACATTTTCTATACACATTTACAC